CTATAAAAAATAATTGTTTTATATTTGTGTTTAAAATTATACACTATTTGTGTTTAAAATTATGTACTATTTGTATGAAAATTATATACTATTTGTATAAATCATTGTATAATAAATGTTTTAAAAGGGGCCATTTTGTTTAATATTTGTTTTATATATTTATTAACAAAAATTATAATTTTTGTACAAATTATTTTGTTAAAATGTTTAAAAAATATATAATTTCTATTTAAATATTGTTTTTTTTTTTTTTTTTTTCGACCTGCAGGTCGGTAGCGAAGTGGTTATGCTCCCAGGTCACCAATCATAAGGTTGCCGGTTCAAGTCCAACGAGGGATGAAAACTGAGTTAGGACCACGATTGTTAATTAACCACATCAGATAACGTCTTACAAAATTAGGAAGATCTTCGGTACCCAGATTCTTAAATGGCAACAGATCTGACATAAGAAGGCCGTGATGATTAGGGGGCTGAGAATAAAAATAGAACAAAGGAATCCCCAATTAGGACAATACCAGTGAAATTCCAAGGTAATAGAAACACAAATTGAATATAGATAGTACCGTAAATATACACAAACTAAAAATGTAAAAATGTAAATGGGTCCTGATAGAAGGTCCTGTGAACTTGAATTTGAACTAATAAAACAGCCGCCAGCTGTGGACCACTAGCGATCAAGCAGTATAAATTAAAATAAAAAAAAATATTGTTTTTTTTTATTTTATATTTATTTAATATTTGATCTTCGTTTTATTAATTTAAAAGCATTATAAATTATATACGCCAATTCATATTTAAGCTAATGCTATGTAGTACATTTGATTTCTATATAATAATTTTAAATAAATATATATCCAACAAAGCTATATGCATTTTTTTTTAGCATTTCTGGAGCTATATATAGTAATGTTCTTCATGCTTTAAGCTTTTTGCATTCTTTATCAAATAATTAGTCTGCATTATTATGTAGATGATTGTTGAATCTTAGCACTCGAGAAGATATGATAGACATCTGCTTATCTAAATATGTACAAATAAAAATGAATTTATTATACGTACATATGTACATATCATATTAACATTCAAAAACATTATATCATTATCATAAAATATACAGAGTAAATTATACCCTGTAAAATTTTCATAATAATATGGCAAGAAAATAAATACCTTTATTCTTTGAAGCTTTCATTTTTTTCTCTTGTCAATTATTAGACATTACTTTTTTGAAATATTCTTTATTCGTTTCGTCAGATGTTATTTTTGTGATGATTTTAAGACTTGAAGAGTCGAACCTAGGTGCTTTTTAGTATGCCTATTTTTTGGTTTTGATGTATTGACATTAGTTATGTTTTCTTCATTCATAATAGGTGCCTGTTGTTCTGTTTGAAATTCGGTGAAGGCTTCTTGTTCACTAGTAAAGAATATTTCTGGTCAGTAGTTAATATTAGTTAAATCAAATGTAAATAATTTAAAAAATATGTATATTCAAAATATAACTACCCTCAACTCTTTCTGTTATTAGTTCAGAACCATACTCTTGGTCTAAGTAGTTATCATCAGACAGCACTATAATTAAGAGGTTAAATATAGACATTATTTAAAAAAATACCAAATTTTATAATAGTTATTGATACCCATTGTCTCTTTTTTAGTAATTCGGGTATTGTCTTTTGTAGCATCATGTTCTTTTTTACCTATATTTTCAAGTGATAAAGTAGAATTAGTTCATAAGCTCACTTATCATTCTAAATTTTAAATGCATATGCTGTTGATTAATAGAACAACAAATCAACATCTTGATTGCCCAATCATTGATACATTCTGGAAAATCTGAATTGTTTGCTTTATACTGACAAATGTAAAGTTGAAATATTAAAGTATTAGTATATATTATTACTTAAAGTCATAACAATTTTACCTTTTTAACTAATGATCAGATTTTAGTTGAATTCAATTTACGATATTCTGGTGTATTGGAGGTCCATATCTGAGCTATAAATTCACACATTACACTCTAAAAAATTTGTTATAAAATTTTTAAAAAAACAAGCAATTAATAAAATCAAGCACTATCAAAGGTTATAGTAAATCATTAATACCTTATACGATGCATAAATCTTATAATCTACTGATAATATTTCTGACAAGTTATACCACTTTAAACTTGGAGGTTTGGCGATGGGAGTTTTTTGAAAAAATTTCTAAAAATTATAAAGTTATATATGTAAAAAAAAAAAAAAAAATAAAAAAAAAAATAACATTATAAATTAATACTTCTTTAGTTTCACTTTCAGAATCGCTTAAAGTAGTATTTGTGTGTTTTTTTTTATATTTGCATTTTTTTTGAATTTGTTGACTATTTAATTCACTCATTTCAGAGCTACTAGAGTTGTTAGAACTAATGGTCTTTTCATAATTTTTCTTATAACTTTTTCTTTTTTTGGATAATTATTCATCATGGTAATCACTTTCAGAATCACTAGAATTACTAGAAATTATGACTTCCTTATGATATTTATAAGGCAACTTATTAGTATTTACTAAATTATTAGCCATCTGAAAAGTACTTTTTTTCAAAACATTGACATTATTAAAGCTTTGCGTAATGCCAAGTTGCTGAGACTGTAGAAGCCTTTCGTTTTCAGCTTTAAGACATTCTAACTGAGTTTTTAAACTAGAAATTTCATGATCATTAGTAACAACTTGACTGCTAAG